TTTAATGTATGCCAAGTTTTCCTTAAATGAATTTTCTTGGTATTTTACTACAAAATTTTTGAGACAGGGTCTCACTCTGTAGTTCAGGCTATGCTTAAAGGCCAGGATATAGCTCAGCAGCATAAGCACTTGCCTGGCAAGCCTGAGGTCATGACTTCAATTCCTGGTACCAAAAAGAAAAAAAAAAGAAAGAAAATCAAAGGGCCAGGGATTTAGCTCAGTGGCGCAAGCCCCTGCCTGGCAAGCGCAGGGTTGTGAGTTTGATTCTCCGTACCAAAAAAAAAAAAAACCAACGAGCTACCCTTGAACTCACTATTTAGCCCAGGCTGGCCTTAAACTCTCATCATCCTCCTGCCTCAGCCTCCCAAGTCCCGGATTATAGGTGTGTGCCACCATGCCTGGTCTACACATTGAAATATTATGTTTGTAAGGAAAAAAATGAAGAAAGAAGTTTTTAGAAAATAGTTTAAAAATTTCTTCTCTGTAATAAAAAAAATTTATGTGCTATGATTTTAAATTTAAGTATTAATATTCCATGCTATTTCTCAAAGAACACCAATCTTAACAGCATCTTGCCTTAATAACAAGTTGAGAATCTTGTGTGTGTACTTGACAGTTTTAAACAAGGCATTTATTTATTTATTTATTTATTGGTACCAGGAGTTGAACTCAGGACCTCATGCTTGCCAGACAAGCCCTGCACCACTGAGCTAAACCCCCAGTCCAAGGCAATTATTTTAAAGTATTCCTCAACGAAGAATTTTAAGCTATTAAAATGATCTTTGTAAAATAAATCCCACTTTTATTTATTTACTTACTCCTTCATTTATTTATTATGTTGCCTGAGCTGGGTTTTTTTGTTGTTTTTTGTTTTTTTTTTTTTTTTGGACAGAGTCTTGCTATGCAGTTCAGGCTGGCCTTGAACTCACTTTGTAGCCCAGGCTGGGCTTGAACTCATAGTGATCCTCCTGCCTCAGCCTCCTGAGTGCTGAGATTACAGGTGTAAGCTACCATGCCTGGCTGCCTGGGCTGGTCTTTAACTTCAGGAGTCAAGTCAACCTCCTACCTTAGCCTCATGAGTAGCAGGGACTATCGGCCTAGGCCACAACACCAGCTAAATCTTAATGTTAAAAGTTTTATCTTTAATAAGAAATACTATTAATTTCCTAGTCAATAATCTTATTTTGAGAGCTGGGCGTGGTGGTGCATGCCTGTAATCCCAGCACTCGGGAGGCTGAGGCAGGAGGATCCTTGCGAGTTCGTGGCCAGCCTGGGCTACAAAGTGAGCTCAAGGCCAGCCTGAACTGCATAGCGAGACCCTGTCTCAGAAAGACAAAAAAATAAAAACGAATAATCTTATTTTGTAGTACTGAAATTTGACTAATTGATGTTTTTTCTTTCAGCAAGTGGCTGCAGAAGAGTGTTGGCTCTGACCTCTGCTGCTCTTTCTGCCGTGGAGAAGACCCACAGCCTTGTAGGAGCTCAGCTTCTTCCTCTCACAGATGGGAGTAACGACAGCATCTGGGCCTATGGTCCGCCGCTTTCCCTTTTCTTCCGGATTCAACGGGATGGCCCAAAAGGGTGTTACCTGTGTGTTGTTAGTTTTTATGACCCCCGTAAAGCCAGTCGAAATCTTTCGTCCCTTAGTACAGTTCTGCTTTGTTCTATTTAAATGACTACTTAAGGAACTAGGGGATACAGAATTAAAGTGTCCTGTTCGTTACCGCTGCTAACAGATTCCTGCCTTCTAATCTAACTCTCTTTCCTCCTGAAGTTTCTAATATTATATTGACCCAACCGACTGTAAACAATTCGTGTTAGGCTGACTGGTCAGTGATGTGCCCCAGATTGAAGTAATCTGCAGTTCTCTGGAGCCTCAGACCTGCAGCTCAGTCTCAGCAAGCCTTGGGGTCCTTCCTTCCTGCCTCTGGGTCAGAACTCCTGTCGCCCAGGTCTGGGTTTTCCTAACACGTCACTTAAAAAGACAACAACTTGGAATTACTTGATCCCTAGCGGGTATGGAATCATGTCGGAGTTTATCTGTATGGGTTTGATTCTTACTGTTTTATTCCTCTCTTTTTTTCTTTTTGGTACCAGGAGTCGAACTCGGGGCCTCACACTTGCCGGGCAGGCGCTGCCCCGCTGAGCTACGTCCCCGTCCTACGCCTTTCTCTTGTCATTTCGTACTAAGATATGTGTATTTCTTCAGGCTGATTGTGTTCATCCCTTTCCTAAATCCCAGAACTCATCTTGACCAAATGAACCTCACTGAAGCAAGTTCACTGGCTCAACCTGAAAAAAAAAAAAAAAAAAAAAAGGCGGCAAGGCCGTGCGGCAGGAGTCGGGCTTTAATGAGACCCGCACGCTCGCACTAAGCCAGGGCAGCAGTCCACGGGCAGCAGTCCACAGCCCGCGCTGCTCAGCAAGCAGGAAACCAGCGCGCGGGTTAACCTCGCCAGGTAGGCGCTTGTGCCGCTGAGCTCCATCCCCGGCCCTGATAGGTTAATTTGGCTTTGTCTTTGTTGCTTAATTGTGTACAAGAATCTGTTGATTTTTCACTAAGCAATTTAATCTTTTCTCCATTAAACGAGATAATGAACATAAAAAATATGAATGTGTATCTTAAGAATGAAAGTATTGTTTAGAGTGCTGTCGGCGGTGGTTTGTGTGTTCCGTATCCTGGGCTGTCTTTTGGGGGGTCCTATTGTTTGTCTTCACACTTTGGCCTGTACCATTCTTTACACTTAACAAAATAAAACACCAGCAGAACTTCCCCTGTGTAACAGTTGTGCTAGAAGAGTATTTAGACGGGTAGCACAACAAAAAGAAAGTGGTAAGAACACGTTCAAAAGTAGAAACTTTTTCCTTTCTTTTCTTCTCTTTTGGCTTTGTCAAAATAATCGAAGTGTGTTTGGAAAAAGTAACGCGTACTCCACAGCTCAGAGTGCATAAATCAGTAACTTAAAACCTTGTACCTCTCACTTCCTTCGAAATTTACCTGCAGATTCAACCGAAGTAAAAAGCAACTAATATACTGGTGTGTTTAGTTTGTTAAAGAAACTCTGCTCTGCGCTGCTAAAGGTTCTTTGAAGATTTAAAAAACATCTTTCCGCTGTACATATAGACTTTTTTTGCATAGAGACCTTCTATTTCCTTTTGAACAACTCATTTTATCAAAAGCTATTTTTAAATGTTAGAAAGCAAGGGCACTTTAAGAAACGGCGTTCTCGTGGCTCTCTCGCTTTGCTTTTCTCTGCAAACATCAGCCTTCAGCAGAGCAGACCCCCTCGCCCCTCTGCAGAGGGCCGACGTCCCCAGAAGCCCCGGGGGAGCGCCTTACCCAGCCAGATGGAGTTGTGGAAGATCCCGTCCTTGAAGCCCCAGCCCTGCGCCCGCTCCCACAGCAAGAGAAGCGCGAAGCTCAGGACGATCATGTCTTCAGCTGCGGAGGGCTAGCGGCTGTCAGAGGCGGCGCAGACAGATCCTCGGCGGCGGCGGGGACGCGGCCGGCACAGCTGGTTTCCACATCTCGCTTAAATAGTTTTCTTCAGCTGTGAGGTCAGCGCGATTCTCCAATGGCTCTTTCTGCTGGAGAATTACACAATTCGCAGCCTCTGACTCCTGCCCGAGCGGCCTGAGCTGGGGCGCAGGAGCACCATCTAGTTTCCGGATTCGCATACTCAGAAAGGAATTCATTTCTTCTGTCAGTCACGAGCACGTTCCTGGTAGGAACTTTGTGTAACTTGGTGCAGATTCAAGCCATGATTAAAGCCGAACCGCAGTAGGAATTGTAAGAGAAATCCCGCATGTCTTACTTGCATTCTCAGTGAGGGAGTGTGGGGTTTGGGGTTAAGCACTGATCTTTAACTCGACTCTGGTAATTTTACGTTACTTCTCCCTGACCATTGCCAAGCCTGTGCGGAAATTTTAAAGCAAAGTGTGCGTGGCTTGGCAGCTTAGGACTTCCTTACTCTGTCTGCGTTTCTTTTGGAGTAAAGTTGGTTGAACACTCTGGCTGGTTGTCATCAGAAGATAAATAAGTACATCTGCTTCTCTCAGATTTGAGATCCTCAGGACGTGCGCGCAGCTGTGGAGTACCCTAGGATGGCACAGACCTCCAGGGTCACCCATCTTGGAAGTGTTGGCAGAAAGGGGGGTACTTAGGGCCAGGGAGGCAGCTCAGCGGCACAGCGCCTGCCTGGCAAGCGCAAGGTCGTGAGTTCGATTCCTGGTACCAAAAAAAAAAAAAA